GAGGAATCACTTTTTCGTAGACATGATACGCACCAGCAATGGATCCTACGTCACCCGCAGCTCCGGAGTCCTGGTGCCTGACACTGTCATCTACGGCTGGGGCAACAACGAACCTACCTACGGCAACCAAATGTGCATCAGCCTTGGCGCTTCAACATCCTTGTTCTATGACCACCCATGCAATACTGCATATACATGGGGTGGCGTCATGTGCGTCTACACTGTGTTGCCTTAGAACGCTCATTTTGTTATGTTCTATGGAGCGCAGCAGCCTTAACCCTCTACCGCCGTATGTCACTCTCCGGGATCATAACTTTCAACTTAAATTATACGTAAACTATTGCGTGTAGCAACCTGAGGACGTTTGAACGCAGCAGAGAACATTTTAAAGTTGTTGTACGTGGCGGCAACCATCAGTGCAAGTCATTTTGCGCTCACTATATATATAGAACGTATCCTTTTTGTTAAGTAGGCTTGTGACAATATTGATCAGTTTATTAATATTATTATATTATATTATACTAGTAATATTATCACGTTACTAATATTGCTCCGGTTACTCATGCCAGGCGGTAGAGGGTTGAAGTTACTACACTGTTAAAAATGACAGAATTTTGTCAGTAGAATATGTGACTGGTTCTCAATGTCCAAGTCGTATCTTAGAAGGATGAGAGTGTTCTCCATCTCATAAAGTTTCGCATTCCGAGCATTTGATGTTAATTTTCATATGAGCTACTTTATTCATTCTGTGCTCTATTCACCAACGTTTGTTATTTCTATCGATGCGTGTCATGTTTTCTGTGTTAAGACTTTGGATTTATTTGCATAACTCAAATCAATTACAAACATTTCACCAAATTTAACAATTTAATGTCACGGACGAGAGAAGTTCTTAAGCATGGAATCATGTAAAATGCCTAATCATGCCTAATATATTTTCATTTAAATGAGACATAAGGCCACAAATTACCAACAGGTTCCAAAATAATTACAAATTATTAAGCAGGATGAATTCTTTGGGTTTACCCGGCTTTTTCATTTGTATTATTAATTTCATAAATTCTGCATAGGAGACATGATGTATTGGTAAATTTCAACGTTGCAAGCGATTGTTTTAAAACCTATACGACGGATTCAGTGGATAACGTTGTCGGAGCGCATTAGATAAA